ATGTACTATGATAAACAGGAATTGTCAGATGTGATCACATCTTACAATCCGTTTACAATCCGTCTTTATTCAGGTATGGTTTAAACTAAGCCGAATGACTGTAAGCACTGTAATGGATCTTCTATTTACGACTAAAACGCAAGAAATTGGTCAGATAGAAAGAGCTAAGATTTGCAAACACACTAACAAATCTAATAGCCAGATCAAAAAGTAAAAGCAGCTGGGGCTGTAGAACCATAACGCAGTACGCAGCAGACACCACTAGAATAAAGAACCAGCAGTGTAAAGAAGAGAGTTATCCCAAATATGGGCTAATTGGCCATGTCATTGTTGGAACTTGGAATGTTATACAGCAGGGGGCTACAAAACTGCGGCGGTATCATATCATTACTGCTGATCCAGTGCGTTTTAGACTGAGAATTAAATTTAATACACATAGTTTGTAGGTTTGTAGTGTAAAGAAACGAGTGTACTAGGAGAGTTTCAGTGCGGTTAAACAAATTGAATATCATCAGCTCCCCAACGCTTGTGGCCAAAGCTAAAATCAGTACATTTTGCTCATAAGAGCCCTTTCCCTGACGAGAAACTACTGCAAGTCCCCTCCCCCCCCACTAGACGGCTAGTGGGCTAGACGGTGTATCACCCAGGTTACCTGGTTACGGTGTAATACCCAGGTTACCAGGTTACGGTGTATCACCCAGGTTACCTGGTTACGGTGTATCACCCAGGTTACCAGGTTACGGTGTATCACCCAGGTTACCAGGTTACGGTGTATCACCCAGGTTACCAGGTTACGGTGTATCACCCAGGTTACCTGGTTACGGTGTATCACCCAGGTTACCTGGTTACGGTGTATCACCCAGGTTACCTGGTTACGGTGTATTACCCAGGTTACCTGGTTACGGCGTATCACCCAGGTTACCTGGTTACGGTGTATCACCCAGGTTACCTGGTTACGGTGTATCACCCAGGTTACCTGGTTACAGTGTATCACCCAGGTTACCTGGTTACGGTGTAATACCCAGGTTACCAGGTTACGGTGTATCACCCAGGTTACCTGGTTACGGTGTATCACCCAGGTTACCTGGTTACGGTGTATCACCCAGGTTACCTGGTTACGGTGTATCACCCAGGTTACCTGGTTACGGTGTATCACCCAGGTTACCTGGTTACAGTGTATCACCCAGGTTACCTGGTTACGGTGTATCACCCCTTGTAAACCGGTTTCCTTTCTTTCCCTGAGCCACCTCCTTTGTCTTTTTCCTGTCCTACAGTTTATCTTGAAGTACTTCTTCTCCTTTTTTAATCAATAAACTTTCAAGTTGTTACACAAAGTAGTACATAACTATATCACAAAGAAAATTCGCCGAAAGATATGTACATGTCTTGACAACTGACCAAGCTGTAAGGAAGTTTAGGGACACAGGAACATCAAATGGAAGCTCTTTCAGAAATTTAAAATAAGCTCAATAACTAGTCGGCAGACAGAATGCTGTTTCTCCAAGAAGCCTTTCAAACACGATCAATAATTGATCATAATATAATAAATTTACTCTGCTCTAACATAACTATTAAGTGAGTATAATTAAAATTAGTCGCGTTCATTAAACCAACAAGTCGCCCAAACAATGGCAAGTCCTCACTCCTCGCCACTTCTACAATAACATAACAGTTAGAGTAGAATGGTTTAAAGTCAGTGGCGTAACGAAGGGCCCCGCCGACCCCGCTGTGTTAGGGGGGCCAAATCGTCGTTTCAATGTGGGACAATTTGGAAAAACTTAACTACGGTACTAGCAAAACTGCGCGTTTCGCTCTAGAAACATACTTTTTTAGAGATTTTACCGCCGTATCCTCTAAAATCATCTAATTTGTTCAAATTAGGCAACGTTACACCACTGTTGAAAGTGTGGTGTGAAATAAGTAAAGTTTGACACAGCGAGGCTCTTGGTTACGTCATTAAGCACCGACAAGAGTCAATAAGGGAGGGTCCAGGGGTACATAAATGAAGTACGTTAATTGTTCGAGCAAAAACCCAACTGAATTATTAAATGCGTAGAGATTTACTAGAAAACGGAGAAAACGTGGCAACGGTAAACTTATCAATGGCCGGGCAACCTGAGACGTAAATAAGTGACGAAAAAGTAGGGAGAAAGAGGAACTTCTGCAGTGTTAATACTGTGTTTCTAATTGAAAGGGGATGTTATGATATAATTATTACCATAAGAAGAAGAAATAAAATATACCAATCGTTATGAACGGTAAAAAGGGGACGTTAAATTAGATTAAATAACATGACACTGACAAGTAAGAGGTAAGAATTATAAAGGATCAAGAGTAATCACCCTCCTCAGAGAGCAGTGTAATGAAAGCTACACCACGTCCGGCGAGATCTACTTCCTAGTAGAAAGTTCTGGAAGCTTAATAATTGGAATGTTAGGGGCACAACACAAGGGAAAACTCGGTGACGACATTGGTGAGGACAAACAACCAAAAGTAAACAATTGCGGGACATGAAGGATAGAAAACAGGGTAAAGGTTTAAGACCCGAAACAACGCAAACTAAGAGATGATCACAGGATATTGTTCTAGAAAAGCTGTTCTGTAAAGCTAGTGTAAGGTATGTGGGCATTGTTAGTATTGTTAGCAGGTGGGTATTATAATAGGACACTGTAATTATCATCAGGTCCAGGGACCTGGGTCTCTCTGTGTACAACATCAGGTCACGGGTGTAGTGGGCTCTAAGTTTATTAGTTTTACAAACAGACTGTAGACTGTAGTTAGGACTGGGTGAGTAGCAAGATAGAGCTCTAACCATGCCAAGTAACTGGGGAAAATACCAGATGAGAGAGTTAAAGCGCCGAGAAAACAACAAGAAGTAGAAAACAATGGGAATATGCAGACCTTGAAGACAAAGAGAAGTAATCGAGCTATTACTCCGCATAAAGAGACAAGGGCTACAGTAAGTACGATAAAGAGATAGCAAACATTTGAAAAACTACAACAAAAAGCAGCAGCTGAAGAGGGGACATGTATAACACGCGTGATATGCCCCATACAGCGCGCCGCTCTCCCGTATCTAATCATACACAGTCCCATTTCAGTAACGCGGTATTTTATTCCTTTTAAGGAATAATTCGCATATTCCTATTGATTGAATCGTACACTGTATGATAAGGTTTGCGAGAAATCAGTGTCACGTTGGTCTGACAATGTAACCTGAATACGTTGAAGAATCTGCAAAGTGTGATTCTTTCGGACCAAAATTCGACCTAGCTACAAAAAATCAGGTTGTGGACGAACCCATGAAGGACTCCCATTTTCAAACGCTCTTTCCGTTCAAAGACAGATGAATGTCACAGCTTTTCGCAGCGTAACACTGAGATAGAACAGTGGATAAGGTTTAGTTGGAGAAACTGTAACATTTCAGCCATATTTTGAGTACCTACACTCTTGAGATTGTCTACATGTACATAATATACTGTACTGTATAATGTAATATACTGCTTCTCATCATTAGTCTTCTAACTCTACCTGATCTATCATAATCAGAAATACTCCGGTATAATTATACCCCTATCGGTAATGGCAGCTTGTACTATGTATACACGAGTATACATGTAACATGTAGAATAGAAAAGTATTATTCTACTAGTTCTAATTTCGCGAAAGAAATAGTAAAACAGAAAGAGAACACTACGGTTTATCTTAAAAGGAGCAATGACTATGATAGATTGACGATTTTGCACGTTTACGGTTTTTTGTCCACAATATTCACATCTCAAGAGATATTGAGCTATAAACATTACCTTTCATAAACATTGAATTTCATTCAAAAAGATCAATACATGACGAATTTATGGGCTGAAAGCTATCAAATTTGGTGCGCATGCCCAAATATGGTGTTGCGGCTCATAATTTTCAGTCCTCAGCTATTTTTTCTCAATTTTTGATGAAAATTTGAATATAAACTTGGGAGACCAGCAGCTACAAAAAGAGTACCAAAACAGGCAACAAGCTATGTTTGGCAAGGACTTCTTGATAACAATGAGGCTGCAACTTTAAAATAGGCTTTGGAAGTAGCATATTTCAAAAATACTAATACCACAATATATACAAAATTTCGAGAAATACCTCTAAGTTTTGATCTCTGGACTGGTGGTAATAAAATTGTAACCGATGAACAAAAGCAATTAGCGCTCAATATAGCTGATTGCTCCAAGATTAATTAATCTACGGATATTTAAAACTGTACCAATGTATGATTGAACACCGCGCCTTGTACATACTAGTGCTATCACTACCTAACCAAGCGTCATGGCTTCCTTCCTTCTTCATTATCAATTTCTTGGCTAACATTTTATTGCTGCTTCTGAGTAAACTATCCGGATCACTATTGAGTTGTAACTTGATATCACTGTACAGGTGGAATTAATTAAAGTACAAAAGTGCAAATTGTTCCCAGTCTTTAATTGACGGTGTCAATGATTAAAAGGAAAATAGTACAATGCCGACTTGTTTGTCAGAGGGATATTAGCCGGCTGTTACGGTAACACTGTAACAGCCCTCTAACAGCCCTCTAACAGCCCGCTAATAGCCATAACAAAACGCAAGTAAGCACCGCATTGTATGTGTTTGCCGATTAAAATAACGTTATAATACTTGTAGAATGTATAATGTAGAATGTAGAATGTAGAATGTATAATGTATAATGTATAATGTAGAATGTAGAATGTATAATGTAGAATGTAGAATGTATAATGTAGAATATATAATGTAGAATGTAGAATGTAGAATGTATAATGTATAATGTATAATGTATAATGTATAATGTATAATGTATAATGTAGAATGTATAATGTAGAATGTAGAATGTATAATGTATAATGTAGAATGTAGATGGCACTATAGTAAACTCAAGTTACTAACCAAATACAGTGGCAGAGGGTCATGATATGTGAACGTCAACGAATCTATTTATAGTCTCGAGGAAAACAACAGTATTTCAAACAATAATTATGAACTAATTCAAAAACATGCAAAAGCTAACTTTACAAAACGATTTCAGCTCGAATAAAATACTCGAAGTACCCAATTATTGCAGTTACAAGCACAACTCCATCAGTAATCAAGCCGTACAGCTTCAAAATAAGGGACCCAATCCCAGATCCAATCTAATATCCAATATGAGGGATCCGCTACGGTGGTTCTCACACAGGGAGATACTGATCTCTATATACTATCTATATACTAATATCATTAGTATGCTCACCTAGCCTCAGGCAGCAGGTAAATCTACTACTGTGATATTATCATGCTATTCACTATCAATAGCTATGATTACGTGAACAAAGTCGTTGGAAATTTCAGGGTATCTAGGGCCTGGGTAGTTTAGCGGTTATAACACCAGTCCGGATAGCTGGAGGTCCCGGGTTCAATTCCCGGTCCAGTCCCAGTGCCTTGATTTTTCCGATATGCTTGTTCACTAATTCAGATGCGAAGTTTGAGCTCTATTCGCAAATACACACCACCCAACAAAATCATACAAAAATATGCAATATTTAGACTACCCTTGGAGTGAAGTGCTTAAGTGTGTACCATATGTGTACAGATACACGAGTATTCCATAATACTTGCACTTATCTCCCACCCCAGTATAAAAATTCACTATCAATACTATACGGGTATATTGGTAAACTATAATCGTAGTACAGGGCAAATTATGAATGATATAATGATAGGGTAGCGGCCATGTAATCATAGGGTACGGGTAGTAACTTCAAGTTACTACCAAGTTACTAACTAGGCAAGTAACTAACACAGCTATAATAGCTATAATAACAAAACTAAAAGTTTCCAATTATAAATATTAGTATGGAGTCTGGTTGGGATTCGAATAAACCATAGTGTGTGTACATATCTTTATCATTAAAAACGTTTTCCAGTTATGGATGCTACGGAGCCTCAAACATTGTCAGAAACTCAGTGATTACTCTGATTACGGGTATGAACTCCAGATTAAGGGTCTGAACTCCAGATTAAGGGTCTGAACTCCAAATTAAGGGTCTGAACTCCAAATTAAGGGTCTGAACTCCAGATTAAGGGTCTGAACTCCAGATTAAGGGTCTGAACTCCAAATTAAGGGTCTGAACTCCAAATTAAGGGTCTGAACTCCAGATAAAGGGTCTGAACTCCAGATTAAGGGTCTGAACTCCAGATTAAGGGTCTGAACTCCAGATTAAGGGTCTGAACTCCAGGTTAAGGGTCTGAACTCCAGATAAAGGGTCTGAACTCCAGATTAAGGGTCTGAACTCCAGGTTAAGGGTCTGAACTCCAGATTAAGGGTCTGAACTCCAGATTAAGGGTCTGAACTCCAAATTAAGGGTCTGAACTCCAGATTAAGGGTCTGAACTCCAGATTAAGGGTCTGAACTCCAAATTAAGGGTCTGAACTCCAGATTAAGGGTCTGAACTCCAGATTAAGGGTCTGAACTCCAAATTAAGGGTCTGAACTCCAGATTAAGGGTCTGAACTCCAGATTTAGGGTCTGAACTCCAGATTAAGGGTCTGAACTCCAGATTAAGGGTCTGAACTCCAGATTAAGGGTCTGAACTCCAGATTAAGGGTCTGAACTCCAGATTAAGGGTCTGAACTCCAGATTAAGGGTCTGAACTCCAGATTGAGGGTCTGAACTCCAGATTAAGGGTCTGAACTCCAGATTAAGGGTCTGAACTCCAGATAAAGGGTCTGAACTCCAGATTAAGGGTCTGAACTCCAGATTAAGGGACTGAACTCCAGATTAAGGGTCTGAACTCCAGATCAAGGGTCTGAACTCCAGATTAAGGGTCTGAACTCCAGATTAAGGGTATTAATCCCAGATTAAGGGTCTGAACTCCAGCTTAAGGGTCTGAACTCCAGCTTAAGGGTCTGAACTCCAGATTAAGGGTCTGAACTCCAGATCAAGGGTCTGAACTCTAGATTAAGGGTCTGAACTCCAGATAAAGGGTCTGAACTCCAGCTTAAGGGTCTGAACTCCAGATTAAGGGTCTGAACTCCAGATCAAGGGTCTGAACTCCAGATTAAGGGTCTGAACTCCAGATCAAGGGTCTGAACTCCAGATTAAGGGTCTGAACTCCAGATCAAGGGTCTGAACTCCAGATTAAGGGTCTGAACTCCAGCTTAAGGGTCTGAACTCCAGCTTAAGGGTCTGAACTCCAGATTAAGGGTCTGAACTCCAGATCAAGGGTCTGAACTCCAGATTAAGGGTCTGAACTCCAGATCAAGGGTCTGAACTCTAGATTAAGGGTCTGAACTCCAGCTTAAGGGTCTGAACTCCAGATTAAGGGTCTGAACTCCAGATTAAGGGACTGAACTCCAGATTAAGGGTCTGAACTCCAGATCAAGGGTCTGAACTCCAGATTAAGGGTCTGAACTCCAGATTAAGGGTATTAATCCCAGATTAAGGGTCTGAACTCCAGCTTAAGGGTCTGAACTCCAGCTTAAGGGTCTGAACTCCAGATTAAGGGTCTGAACTCCAGATCAAGGGTCTGAACTCTAGATTAAGGGTCTCAACTCTAGATTAAGGGTCTGAACTCCAGATTAAGGGTCTGAACTCCAAATTAAGGGTCTGAACTCCAGATTAAGGGTCTGAACTCCAGATTAAGGGTCTTAATCCCAGATAAAGGGTCTGAACTCCAGATTAAGGGTCTGAACTCCAGCTTAAGGGTCTGAACTCCAGATTAAGGGTCTGAACTCCAGATTAAGGGTCTGAACTCCAGATTAAGGGTCTGAACTCCAGATTTAGGGTCTGAACCCCAGATTAAGGGTCTGAACTCCAGGTTAAGGGTCTGAACTCCAGATTAAGGGTCTGAACTCCAGATTTAGGGTCTGAACTCCAGATTAAGGGTCTGAACTCCAGATTAAGGGTCTGAACTCCAGATTAAGGGACTGAACTCCAGATTAAGGGTCTGAACTCCAGATCAAGGGTCTGAACTCCAGATTAAGGGTCTGAACTCCAGATTAAGGGTATTAATCCCAGATTAAGGGTCTGAACTCCAGCTTAAGGGTCTGAACTCCAGCTTAAGGGTCTGAACTCCAGATTAAGGGTCTGAACTCCAGATCAAGGGTCTGAACTCTAGATTAAGGGTCTGAACTCCAGATTAAGGGTCTGAACTCCAGATTAAGGGTCTGAACTCCAGATCAAGGGTCTGAACTCTAGATTAAGGGTCTGAACTCTAGATTAAGGGTCTGAACTCCAGATCAAGGGTCTGAACTCCAGATTAAGGGTCTGAACTCCAGATAAAGGGTCTGAACTCCAGGTTAAGGGTCTGAACTCCAGATTAAGGGTCTGAACTCCAGATAAAGGGTCTGAACTCCAGAATCCAGATTAAGGGTCTGAACTCCAGATTAAGGGTCTGAACTCCAGATAAAGGGTCTGAACTCCAGCTTAAGGGTCTGAACTCCAGATTAAGGGTCTGAACTCCAGATCAAGGGTCTGAACTCTAGATTAAGGGTCTGAACTCCAGATTTAGGGTCTGAACTCCAGATTAAGGGTCTGAACTCCAAATTAAGGGTCTGAACTCCAGATTAAGGGTCTGAACTCCAGATAAAGGGTCTGAACTCCAGGTTAAGGGTCTGAACTCCAGATTAAGGGTCTGAACTCCAGATTAAGGGTCTGAACTCCAGAATCCAGATTAAGGGTCTGAACTCCAGATTAAGGGTCTGAACTCCAGATAAAGGGTCTGAACTCCAGATTAAGGGTCTGAACTCCAGATAAAGGGTCTGAACTCCAGATCAAGGGTCTGAACTCCAGATTAAGGGTCTGAACTCCAGATTAAGGGTCTGAACTCCAGATTTAGGGTCTGAACTCCAGATTAAGAGTCTAAACTCCAGATAAAGGGTCTGAACTCCAGATTAAGGGTCTGAACTCCAGGTTATTGCACAGTATCTTGACCACCAGACCACATTAATATAATAATGTTCCTAAACCCTTCATCCGACTACGGGAGGCATGCCTGGTTTGGAGTCTGACGATAGTCCGCTGAGGAATATGTTCATCTTAAAGCCTAAATCCTCGGAGGTAAGCTGAGGTTTGAGGTCTGGTATCGAGGATCTGCGTTCCCCGCTGCTGGGCTCTCTTTCGGGAAGGTTAGGAGTCGACTGAAACGGTGGATATTACAGGGCTCGATATTTCAGTAGTTCTCTGGTCGTGCTTCAACATTCAACAAGAATGGAGCAGTTCGTGCCGCAACAAATAAAAGTGAAGTCCACACTCCAAACTCCACAGTGGCTTAAGTTTTCATAGCAACACGGAGAAACACACCAAGCGTCACTAAAACCTGATTTTGTCTACAACATGTAATATTTACACAGCACATACAAAAGCGAAGCAAGTTCATGCTTCAGTTACAACCCCAAATCACTGCAATAACATACATAGTGCCGAGTGTGATTACATATTATATAGTGTGATCAAACTATAAGATTAACTATAGATTAAATGAAAATGCTTAATCAGCATTAGTGGTTGCTTAATTTGTAAGCGATTTGATCTATTTGTTATCTTGATCTATAACTGATGCTTTGATCAAGGATATGGATCGACAATTTCTAATAATAATAGTGGATTTTTCATCAGGACAAGAATCATTATGGCATCATATTAGAACGAAAATAAATCCTCGAATTCATCAATTGCTGATAATCTACTACTAGTTATAGATGACATTAGCGGAGCACTCCCGTACAGTCTAGTTCAGTGTCGGAGGACAAGAGGATTTCCTGATAGCTCTAATATGAAAACTCTCATCACTATCGTAGTTCTTGTAGTATTGGTCCATCAAGTCAGCCAAGTTCTCGTCTTCAGAACTGAGGCTTGAAGACGAGGAGGAGCTGAACACATCGTCCTTAAACTCTACTCTAGTGGCCGGATCATAGTTTTTTAATTTAACTCCCCGGTAATTCTCACTATCCCCATATTTGGCTTCACAGACATTGTCCTGGAATGTAACTTTAGTGGCAGGGTGATAGGGTGGCAGGGTGGTGGCAGGGTGGTAGGGTGGCAGGGTGGTGGCAGGGTGCTCGTTTAGGGATAACCCAATCTGAAACTTGGGTTAGGATAAAGGATTTGATATTAGGAGGATAGTTATATGTCTGCTTGGATATGCTTAGTAACGAACATGCAGAGTAACATTATGCTTAGTAACGAACATGCAGAGTAACATTATGCTTAGTAACGAACATGCAGAGTAACATTATGCTTAATAATGAACATGCAGAGTAACATTATGCTTAGTAACGAACATGCAGAGTAACATTAATGGAGACAGAATGCAGATAGAGGCGAGGGAGAACATGTTGAAAGCGCGCACAATATAACTAGTACTAGTAAGTCCCACTAGGTGTTGTGTCGGTAAATCGGTTTTTAAAGACGGATCTGTCTGTACTAAACTTCTTCCGTTAGCATGCAGTATTCGCGAGATAAATACATAAAAGTAAACACTTATTGAATAATAAATCCACATAGACTGCCAAACAAACGTGCACACGAACAGACAAAAAACCAACCATTGAGTTTAGCGAATGTACAGGGACGGCCAATTGGTTAGTGGATAAGTGGTTATTTGTAGTTACGATGGAACGTTCACGTTTCATCGCCATGGCAGGTTTAACCGCTGTTATAATGGATGGTAGAGTGATCTTGGAGCCCCTCTTTTTAAGTCCCGTCTTCTGTTTTTGTTCTCGTTTGTTCTCAGTCTCAAGACGACGCTCACCCGGGGTTTTGGTTGGTAGGTTAAATGCTTTCTGTAATAAAATAAACATTATTTAAACGATTCTAGACGGACACAAGGTTAACGGTACGGTTAGAACGATTTGTGCACAAATACGAAGTTAGTTTTTATGAAACTTCTGGAAGAACTGATCGGGTATATTCGGTTCACCTGAAAATCTTCAGTCGAATTTAACGAAGTTGAGTTCAATGAAGAAGCTTGGCTTTCTAATTTTCGTGGAGTTCTTGGCGTTCTTGGAGTCTTTATCAAAGCGGGAAGGACCAATCTCTCTGAGTTTTGACTTGAGTCCAGTAAGTTTGGAGTCGCTGAAATATAATATCATAATTACTACCAATATATAATATTATTAAAGAAATTTCGAATATATAATTTACCCTATCACACATAATAAGAATTAAGAAACCAAAGACTGCATTTAACTTACGGCGGTAAACATCAGGGGGAGCTGAACCCCCACTACCAGTAGGAGATTCATCCGAGATTCTTGGCTCATCTGCAGTTTCATTCTTCTCATCAATCTTCCGTAAAATATCCAGGAAGAGGTTGTTGGTCTTCCTCTCAGCTTTCTTTACTCGTGCCAACTTGTTTATTCTGTAAAGGGTAAGCGTTGATGGGTGTTACATGAACTAACTTACCGTCATCAAAAGTCCCGTTTTGCCCCCCTCCCCCTCCCCCCATTTCACCATCATTCGAGTGAATACAACCAATTACTAAGTCAAGCAACTATAACAAACATCAATCTGATAAAAACTAAGAATCTCACTGCCCCGGAGTCTGACACACTATACTATACACTGTACTATACACTGTACTATACACTGTACTATACACTATACTATACACTATACTATATACTATACTATACACTATGCTATACACTGTACTATACACTGTACTATACACTGTACTATAAACTGTACTATACACTATACTATACACTGAACTATACACTGTACTATACACTGTACTATACACTGTACTATACACTATACTATACACTGAACTATACACTGTACTATACACTGTACTATACACTATACTATACACTATACTATACACTATACTATACACTGTACTATACACTGTACTATACACTGTACTATACACTGTACTATACACTGTACTATACACTGTACTATACACTGTACTATACACTGTACTATACACTGTACTATACACTGTACTATACACTGAACTATACACTGTACTATACACTGTACTATACACTGTACTATACACTGTACTATACACTGTACTATACACTGTACTATACACTGTACTATACACTGTACTATACACTGTACTATACACTGTACTATACACTGTACTATACACTGTACTATACACTGTACTATACACTGTACTATACACTGTACTATACACTGTACTATACACTGTACTATACACTGTACTATACACTGTACTATACACTGTACTATACACTGTACTATACACTGTACTATAAATAGAACTACAAACCTATACACTGTACTATAAATAGAACTACAAACCTCTTTCTAAGATTAGCTATAAGAGGCTATACTATACACTGTACTATAAATAGAACTACGCACCTCTTTCTAAGATTAGGAATAAGAGGCATCATGGGGGCATTCTTAGGGAGACCCATCCTGGGATCCAGACTGTTCCCTGGGGGTGGCTGAGTCTTGATGGGTATAAACATGATACTGCTTCAGAGAAAACAGTGTCTAAACATGATGACTACTTCAAACTTTCAAAGAAAACAGTGTCTAAACATGATGGCTGCTTCAGAGAAAACAGAGCAATAAGATTAGGATACCAACGAGACTACAACTCTGAGTCAGAGTGTGAGATTGTTTGGGTTACCGTAAAAACTAGCTTGATAAAAACACAGACTTATAGAACTTTAACAAACGGAAGAGTTTAAAATACTTCGCTTGCTGACGACGTTTATCCAGGATCTCTTGAGGCCGAGCTTCCGGCGGTGCAGCTTGTCCAGTTGTTTGTTGTACTCTAGTCTCTTCTCCTTCAGTTTCTCGTCACCATCACGGAGGTAGTTGTATCTTGTAATACCTGGTGTGGGGGTGAGGTTTACGGGCCTCTAAGTAAATATGTATCATATGATCTAGCTGCACGGCCTCGGAATTGCAAAATTTCAATTTTTAGACTCTTTGATTAGTCATAGTTATTGGGGAATGACAGTCGCAATGTCCTCTTACTCTTTCATTTAGTCATAGACCCTCTGAATTAATATTTGATAAACTTAACTATAGTTTCAATTTCGAAAATTTCTTGAAATTTAAACAAGAAAGGCAGGTAGCAAAGAGGCAGAATTCTACAAATATCGGCCTCAGTAAATATTGCAGTTGTACCCCCGGCCCAATAAGATCTCACAGGCCCTGGCAAATATTCTACACCCGGCCGGTCAATGAATAAGGTACTGTGTTTTTCAGAAACATTTCAGCACTCCGAAAATTAATAAAATTCAAGATCAAAGTTAGATAGTGTGAATTAAACGATTGTTGTTGAAGTGTTGAGTTTAAACTAGACTCGAAGTAAACTAGACACTGAAATACAATGCTGGTTCTGAGTATGAGACCATCCTCACGTGAGATATTGCGACGTCACACTCACGTTAGTATGTGCAGGTTAGAATCAGTGAGGTTAAAGAACAATCCTATTAATTTAAAAATAATTTCTTTGAAGAGAAAATAAGAGATACGCTAGATGATAGTTAGACCACATTGTTGCATTTGCAGGGAGACACGTTATCTACGGAGCATCTTCGTGTAACCAGCTCAACACGTCAAACATTTGGATATACAGATCAAGTTTTCTAAAAGTAAAACTTTGAGGATAGTGTTATTTTCTAAAACTCTGAGTGTTATTTTCTAACCGGCATAAGATCCCAGCAGCGCGATTTCCTCGTCTATTTTCAATTCCCTCGTCTTGCTGTCGCGTGTTAACTGCCGGTGAGCGATAAGTATTTCGTTGTAAAGCATACTCGTCTTATTTTCTAAAGTAACAAATTAACATAACCTCGTGGAGAATGGAGATATTACGAAGTATAAATCAACATAGAGGAGAATCATTGAAGGGAACTACAAACTTATAGAAATTAATCTTATTGGTGCTTCAGGAGAAATATCTTATGATATGCTTGCAATGGAGTCGACAAAGAATGTCAAAATCGGTAAAACTTAACGAAGCCTCTGCATTATTAAGAGCTGCATGCTAAAATAATTCACGACAAATCAGAAGTGGCTTTTTTCGGACACGTGCCAAGTGCCAAGTGCCGGATTTACTGATAATTCATATTTTCCTGGAATGTGCGTTCAATTTTAATTAACGATTAATTATTAGAAAGATCCTATTTCTTTGGTATTTTGTCAAGCAATCCATTTCAGGCAAAGATATGAGTTTCAGTGAACGGTAAAAAGAATTGTTATTTATTTAATAAAAACAAACTTTCAAAAAAAATACACACATTCCGGCACACCCCATCAAATAATATGTGTAATCCTGTGTAATCCTGCAGAAACCTCACCTTGTAGAGCTGATTGCTTTCAAGAAGTTCCCTTCTGTTGAGGAACTTAGGAATGACTCTCTTTGCAGAAGGAAGGGGGATGGGTCGGGAGCTAGTGAAGATTGTCTCGAACCCAGCTGACGGTTTCCTAATCCTAGTGGTCCCCAGGTTTACCGTAGGCTTCTTATCTGGGGTCTCAGCTTTACAGATAGGATAGTTAGTAAGCTCATGTAATTATTAATTAGTGATTACCAACAAGTTATCAATCAACATTTCGAACTGGCTGTAAAAGTCAACGAAGGTCAATTACAGTAAACAATTGATCCAAATAATGAGAAGATAAGGAAGTGTCTCTAACCTATAACTTTAGACGGTCTGAATCCCCGGCGCCATTTCGGTTGTGCTAGAAGCTCTGACACTGACAGAGAGGTGTGAAGTTCCCTGAAAAACAAAATCTAAAATTTAAAATATTGTTAAACAAAAATGAATTTTAAACTTTTTAATACATCTTATTATATGTAGATTAGACACATAGTCATATGTGAAAAAATCGATTAATATCAGTATGCTGAAATGAAACTACGAAAATAAAAAAGAGATTTCAGGTACCCAATATTTTGAAACAGATCTTCCTTCTTTCGTTCAATTTCTGCGTTTGTCAACGAACTTGGCGATTTTTCGCCTTTCCATCTAAATACAGCAGTGTCAACGGTGCAAAATAGTAGTGCCATTATTCTCAATAAACTTCAATAATGATAAAATATAGATATCGGAATTCAAATATGTCGACAGCAAGTGAGCAAGCATCAGTAAATTGTAATAACGTTTTTCTCCGGCGTTCAACAATGTGGATTGTGGACGAACTATATAGTTCTAGCTGTCCGCAGCACATGATTCACAGTCAATAGTGAATCTAGACTATTTTAAAGATACGTATCATGTAATAATTGTCGAGCAATCTTAAAATCTCTACAACTCTTAAAAAGATGGATAACTCTTAAACACTTAAGGCGCTGAAGATAACACACCCAGATCTATGTTCGGACAGGGACAAAAGAAAATCGCGATTATTTTGCCCAAGAATCGCGATACCGCGATTTTTAACAGACTATACATATAAGATTTGTCGCAAATAATGGGAAAAATCGCGATTCCGCACATGCCGCGATTTCCTTTTGTCCATGTGTTCGGAGGACATTGCTAAAGTGCTCGCTACACATACGACCGGTCTGTGTTAAGCGGTCACAGTGTGATATCCTAGAGTGCACAGGCACACAATAACCACTTTCATCTCCTATATCAGGCAGAAAAGCATGCTAAACATGTCATGGCAATATAACGGAGGTGATCGTGTTCCACTAAATTAATTAATTGAACTGAGCCGATTTAGAAATTTCGTGCCATGACCAGATTGAGGGCTGAAAGCTTGCCATAAATTATACCGACAGCTGTTTCATGTTGGTCAGCTGTACCAGCTAGCATGTACCAGCCAGCCAGCTGTACCAGTGTACTAGTCAGCTGTACCAGTGTACCAGCCAGCTGTACCAGTGTACCAGCCAGCGGTACCAGCCAGCTGTACCAGTGTACCAGCCAGCTGTACCAGTCAGCTGTACCATTGTACCAGCCAGCTGTACCAGTCAGCTGTACCAGCCAGCATGTACCAGCCACCGGTACCAGTCAGCTGTACCAGTGTACCAGTCAGCGGTACCAGCCAGCTGTACCAGTGTACCAGCCAGCTGCACCAGTGTACCAGCCAGCGGTACCAGCCAGCTGCACCAGTGTACCAGCCAGCGGTATCAGCCACAGCTTGACAACTTGGTCAGGACGGTCTAGATACCATACTATATATAACAAGGTCGAACAATGAAAAAATAAAACTTGCTTAGATAGTTTCCACAATGAACTTTAAAGTCAAAAACTCATGTGCTGTCCGAACAGCTTACAAGCCATAACTAATAACTATAAGTAAATGTATCAAAATTGAAAATATGCTTGCAAAGTTCTCATTTCATCAAAGGTTTGTTCTATCTTTCCACAAAAATAAAAGTACTTATTATTCAGTTTAATAACTGAATCCAGACGGGAAATATATTCTTATGAGCCTGAAGATGGGGATCCGAGTTCGACGAGTTGGTTCTAGAAATTAAATAGCTAAGCGAACCAGAATAATGAATATGTTAGAAATATTCAACAAAAACAACAACTTACTTTGGTAAGAGCTTGTCTAGCGTTTCTCTAGCTGTGCTCTCGATAGCTTTCTGTTCTGTTCTGCTCAACACCATCCCTTTCCGCCGACTTTTCTTTTTGGTTTTCCCAGCTTTGGAGCCGGAAAAGTCTGAACAAGTTTTCTCATTAGTTTTCAAAGTGATCGGATTGAGCTAGGGATCGTTCAAGTATTACGAAAAGTTCCCCCTTCTGCAATTTTTACGCAATAGTTATGTTTAAAGTGGCTTACAAAGGGGTAGGCAGTGGCGTAACGTTGCCTGTTGGCGCCCCCCTGCCGAAAAAAGCGCCCCCCTGTTGGCGCCCCCTCCCCTTTTGGTGCCCCTCCCTAAAATTGAACAAATTAGGTGATTTTAGAGAATACGCCGGTAAAATCTCTAAAAAAGTGTGTATCTAGAGCAAAACGCGCAGTTTTGCTAGTACTTTAGTTAAGTTTTCGAAATTGTCCCACATTCAAACGACGATTTGGCGCCCCCCTAAGACGGCGCCCCCCTGCACAGCGGGGTCAGCAGGGCCTTTCGTTACGCCACTGGGGGTAGGGGGTCTAAAATGGCTAAAATCTGGCTTATGTAATGCGTGAATGATCTCTGAAAGCGAAAAATAAAAAACCGAAACCAAGTTTTGCGTGATTTCAGGAAATTGAGTGTTATATTTCAAGCGTAAGACCTTTAAACGCGAGGTAGGAGTCCATATTGAGGACAGTCCCGTAACTGGACTCAGGGTCAGTACTCTTAAGACTGTCGGAGGCTAGCTTCAGTCTTTTCATGTAGGTGCCACCCGCTCCTGCTCTTTTTCTAGCTTTCATCTGCACGGATTAGGAAGACGTTATGGACTGAGGATAACTATTTCCATCCAACCCGCGTCTTTTTGTTAAGTCGACAGGAAGATTAAACAACAAATATATAATTACATTATAATGTTTTATTTGAATAACGAAATGGATTATGATAATACAATAATTTTTTTTCGGTTTCTGTATGATTAAATGTGTAACATGCGCTGATACAATACAGTTTTAAGCTAATTACAACACTACAATTCTATTACATTTATTGAGGACATTACAGAAGAAATTAATTTAATGTAGTTTGAGGAGTCCTCACTCTCCTCACGTCCAACAATGGCGTTTCTCTTGTCGCTAATATAGTGCGCAACTGTTATTTGTTTTAAAGCTTCCCGCAAGCCAGTCTGAGGTGACTCACAGTCTGTCCTGAGAGCGAGAGATGGAGTGTACTGTAACTTACCTTTCTCCGTCTCTTTCTAACATATCTCTGAGAACTCTTAGAATCTGAGTCCTCCTCTTCATCCTCATCTAAAGGGTTCTTTGTGATAATCTTCTCTAACCTCCGCAAGCGTTTGTTGTTGGATTTACGAGATATTCGCTCCATCGTCTTCTCTTGTTTTTTCTCGTACACCTAGTGAGCCATTTTGATAATTCCAAATAAACAGTACAAAATTAAACAATATTCTAAGTAAACTAGTGCAACATTTGTTTGAAAGTATTGAAATTTGATAAAAGAAAGTAACAAGAAACTTTTTATTTTAAGAAGAAGTTTAAAACCTGGTACTCGGACATGGCGAGACGCTCCATATTGTCTATTTGTCTGAAAGCCAGGTTCAGGTTAGTGTTGCCTATCAGCTGTATCGTTCGTTTCACCTGCAATAGCTCACAGTTATCCCTTAAAGCGTACAACTCTAATGTTGACTTGATGTATTGATATGATAGTCAACGTTTATGAGGAGTCATAAATAGAACTGTTCATATTTTGATTGCCTCTAACTTGAATGACACAATCACAAACAATTGTCATCTCCAGAATGATAAAGTGTTCACTCTAAGATAGCTATTTCCGGTCCCAATAACATCACAGCTTCTTATAGCTGTGTTTCATAAACTTGTGTTGAGGTATTTGTGTGACACGTGCAGTGCACACAGCACATGTGAGGGAAATGAGGGCACATGTGAGGACTGGGGGAGACTTACCATACGTTTAGATCTGCTTTACAATAAAGAACAGGGTCCGGATAGTGCAAGGAGAAAGAGATAATGAGAATACAACAAAACAACTACAAAGTAGATTCTACAAGTAACAAGACCAGGATTTCCTGTCTCAGAACATGTTTTACGATGGAAAAGTAAACAAGCAAGCACAAATCTATAACATTCAAATTTACGATTAAGCAGTATGATCAAATCATGAAGATCGATATTCAGTTCAGAAATATCATTATAAATTGATTAAAATTTAACAGGCATATGTATTGGAAATGAGTCCAAACATTGAACAATTCCGTAATTATTTGTACGACTGAGTGGTCAGCTGACCACACTGAAGATATCATACCTTTAAGAAGGATTTGAGGGGAGACATGGCGAGGGTGTTGCGGTAAGTCTTGGAGTGGTCGGTAGAGAGGGGGCCTCCACAGTACACATCCTGGGAGAGGAACTAGTTTAAAGATCTGGCTAAATAGTGTGATGACGTCACGTGACAGTAAAATAGTGTAACTAGTCCATTCATAAACCCATAAATCCGGAGAAGGTTAAACTCAAACAGAAAGCAGTACCTGAAAGAGAAAGTTGTATCTGAAAGAGAACAAGAAATGCTTTTCTTTTGTGAATGGCCGCTCAATTTCCCGATCCGTGATGGCTTATTTTATTATATTAATATAACCTGGGTCCCAAGTCTTTGCTGTTTATAAGCATGCAGATATAGCGGAGTGACAGGCCGAGCGCCGCCCAGTTAATAAGTTAATTCCATATTGAATTTGAAAATCGTGTAACCGTATGTTTATTGTTTAACTTTATTGTTTATGCAACCTGACACGGATCTGTGCAAAATAGTAATTCTAATACCAACAACAATAACAATATGCTATCAATTAGTGCCAGTGGGATACGTACATTATATCATGCATGGTGAAATTAACAATTTACTTGGCGCGACAACAATTATTTCATTCAGAATATCTCGCAAAATAACTTTGCGCAGGCTAGTTAAGAACGTGGGCGACATATTGGCGCTACCATATACAAAAAAAACTCGTTCGCTAACTCTTACTGGGCCGCGCTCAGCCTGTCATTCCGCCGAACATAACACAATTTCCTTATGGGGTTAATGATAGGATTGATAGTTTAGCAAATAAAGATAGTTATAATTGTGAATATGCTAAATTTATTTCTTGTAAAGATAGTTCTCGAAAGAGATCCTGGGCTGATAGACAGCAAAGCGATTTATCTCAGTTTGATATTGACAATATTTTGGGTGAATTACTACGTTTAGTTGTTGAACCTTTTCACAGTGATGTTAATATTTTATTACGTAAATTATTGTTTCCTTTAAATAAGTCTACACTAGTTAAACTTAAAGAGAGCTATTTAAATAAAGTTTTTCAAATTGATAACCTAGACCCTAGTAGATCTCAGATACATTGTATTATAATGGACTTATTCACTTATAAAATTAGACCTTTTAACTCGAGAACTGATAAAAGTAAGAGCGTCCGTAAGCCTAAAGTTTTATGTTCTATTGATTTTGTGAACAAGGGTATTGAAATGTTAAATTTACCTAGAGTTTTTAGATCTCCTAGTTTGAAATCGTTTGTTAATTTTTGTAACATTAAGGAACCTACTGTTGTATATAAAGGTACTGATAATGTTTCTAAGAAGTTATTTAATTATAATAACGTTGTTAAGGGAGACACTGAACCTTTAGAATGCAAATGTCATATGTTTACTGATTTCGTAAATCAGGATTGTGGTCATGTTGTGACTGGGGATGTTAATTTTGTAAAGCACGACGCCTTGAGAAGTCTGTTAGAGAAAGGTCCTTCTTATAAAGAACCTAAAACGATTGATTTTGATAAGAATTGTAATTCGGTAATAGATAATGTTAAAGAAATCTTAAAACCTTGGAGTAGGAAAGAGAAAATCGATAGTGCATGTTTAAATGGTTGGTTTAATGTATTTAGTGATATTGTTAAGAAGAATACTGAAGCTCTTAAAATGAAATATCCTAAACAGCTTAAACGGAAATCTGTGTTTAGTAATGATAAAGCTTGTGAAGAATTAGCGTTTATTAGAAAGTATTTTGTTTTATGTCCGGTGGACAAAGCAACTAAGAACGTCGCTATAATTTGTAAACATTATTATTTAAGTGATATTATACAAGAGTGTCAATCTAATGAGGGTATTGATGATGTTAGTGGGGAGCATGATGTTCGTGATATTAACAGAGATATTTTCAAGTTCATAGAAGACGTTGGGATAAAAGTAGATTCTAATATTGATAATTTGCCTCACATGTTTTCGAGTCCTAAATTTCATAAGCCAATTTTAAAGTTTAGGTATGTTATTTCTTATGCTAATTGTAGTATTAAGCCCTTGGCAGTAAAGATTTCTTTAGCCTTAAAGGCTGTTTATTCAGAGATCTGCCGATATACTAACATGTTGTTTAAAGTAACAGGAGTGAATAGGAATTGGGTCATTTTGAATAATAAGTCGATTTTAGAAGCTTTAGATAAAATTAATGATAATAGCTTAGCGAGAAACATCCAAACTTTTGATTTTTCTACTTTATACACGAATTTAGCCCATAAAGATATCAAGGATGCTCTCAAGTTTACTGTTAAATTAGCCTTTAGGAATAGTAGGAAGAAGTTTATAGCTGTTTAAGATAAAGGGTGTGCTTGGGTTAATAGCTTTAGAGATGGGACTGTGGCTTTTGATGAAGTTAAGTTGATTAAATGTGTTGAGTTTCTACTGGATAATTGTTACTTTAAAGTAGGAGAGATCTTATATCGGCAACATATCGGTGTACCTATTGGAATCAACCCTGGTCCATATATTGCTAACTTAACACTTTGGTATTTTGAGAACAGTTTCCTAGATAGTACGTATAAAAATAGATACTATATTGTAAAGAAGTTAAATAATACATTTAGACTTATAGATGATATTACTACCCTTAACTCTGATGGTTACTTAGAGGAATATTTTAAGTTAATATATCCAGACTCACTTACTCTTAATAAGGAAAATGAAGTAGATAGTGCCGCCAATGTATTAGATCTTGATATTTCGATAAATAGAGAGGGGAAGTTTTCTTGTAGAGTTTATGATAAAAGGGATAAGTTTGGTTTTAAAGTGGTTAAGTTTCAACCTTTGATGAGTAATCAAGCTAGTAGTGTATTATATGGCACGTACTGTTCACAGGTTGTGAGATATTCTAGGATTTGTAATAACGTTGTTGCTTTTTCTGATAGGGTTTTGAAATTTACTGATGATTTAATTGAGTTGGGTTTTAGACGGGATCGTCTTAGTAAAATATACTTATCTGTGGTAAAGAGGCATGGGCTAAAGAATAAGTTTGGTATTGGGTGTGGAAATATTTTAATGCCATAGCTTGACCTATTGGCATCTATTTCTATTGTTGCGATATATTTGTTGCACGTGTTGAATTTAGTTTTATAATAACTTTGCGGCGGCGCAAATCGGAGTCTTAGAATTGCGCGGGAGATTACGCGGGAGATCTATTAGTTTAAATTATTGGGTCAGTTCGTTCTATGACGTGTCGACTACGTTTCAATATACTTTATCCCTACCGTTTTATTACATTTTTACTTTATTTACCTATTACTATACATATCTAATCTTAAATTATCATTTTAGTGGAACTATGTAAAAGGGGATCGTTGCTAGCGTCGAGATTGTCTTAACCCTGCCTTAGTCAGTTGAAAGTCTGATAGCATATGTTCCGTTTGATTTGACCAAACTAATGCCTTTCATTGCTTTATAATACATGTAATAGCCCGAGGTCCCCAGGTAAGCTAACTCTTGTCCTTGCTTGACTCTTTTGTGCCTTCGAGTCATGGATCGGGGAAAATGAGGGCTGACCGCAAGCATAGACTTGGCAAAGCCAAAAGGATCGGAGGAACAGTATTTGATATTGCTAAGTAACCGACATTTTATTTGATGTTGCTAAGTAACCAACTTTTTATTAGTTCCAGTATTTGATATTGCTAAAATGCTAAGTAACCAACATTTTATTAGCTCCAGTATTTGATATTGCTAAGTAACCAACATTTTATTAGCTCCAGTGCAGTATTTGATATTGCTATAAGTAACCAACATTTTATTAGCTCCAGTATTTGATATTGCTAGTAACCAACATTTTATTAGCTCCAGTATTTGATATTGCTAAGTATAAACCAACATTTTATTAGCTCCAGTATTTGATATTGCTAAGTAACCGACATTTTATTTGATATTGCTAAGTAACCAACATTTTATTAGCTCCAGTATTTGATATTGCTAAGTAACCGACATTTTATTTGATGTTGCTAAGTAACCAACTTTTTATTAGTTCCAGTATTTGATATTGCTAAAATGCTAAGTAACCAACATTTTATTAGCTCCAGTATTTGATATTGCTAAGTAACCAACATTTTATTAGCTCCAGTGCAGTATTTGATATTGCTATAAGTAACCAACATTTTATTAGCTCCAGTATTTGATATTGCTAGTAACCAACATTTTATTAGCTCCAGTATTTGATATTGCTAAGTATAAACCAACATTTTATTAGCTCCAGTATTTGATATTGCTAAGTAACCGACATTTTATTTGATATTGCTAAGTAACCAACATTTTATTAGCTCCAGTATTTGATATTGCTAAGTAACCAACATTTTATTAGCTCCAGTATTTGATATTGCTAAGTAACCAACATTTTATTAGCTCCAGTATTTGATATTGCTAAGTATAAACCAACATTTTATTAGCTCCAGTATTTGATATTGCTAAGTAACCGACATTTTATTTGATATTGCTAAGTAACCAACATTTTATTAGCTCCAGTATTTGATATTGCTAAGTAACCAACATTTTATTAGCTCCAGTATTTGATATTGCTAAGTAACCAACATTTTATTAGCTCCAGTATTTGATATTGCTAGTAACCAACATTTTAAAATGGACTAAAGAATAAATAATCTATATTATATAAATCAACAATATTATCTCCCCATCTTCTTGTAGTCATTTTTATCAAAGCGGTAGAAATCCAAGACGTAATTTTAATACGCGTTGCGCAAGGAATTTCGTTAAAAAAGTGTAGGCAAGATAAGCCTAAGTGTGGCAGTGAAAGTTGAAAAATAAGTTGCAGAATAAATTGCAGTGACTGACTGTCAAATGCATTATCGCAGTTCATTTATTTGACTGCACTAACGTTTAGGATTCTTACAGCTGTTATATTTTGCTAATATTTTGTTTAAAAGTTGTAAAGGACAAAGTTCTTGTCCGTCCACGAAAGGTTTTTTATGTCAAGTTTTTGTTTGTCCAGTAAGTAACGTACAATGTTGTCCTTGTATGAATTAATAAACTTATCTTGTAACTTAGGTACGTTGAAGGGAAGGATTTTATTTATTTCGTTTATCGTGTTGTTATATAATCGTGGTCCTACGTTAGAAATGCTATAATCGGTGATGCGTAATCTGTTGAACTTAATTTCAAAATACTGGATTTCTCCTTTCCGTTTGTCTAAGCGGTGACTTTTCAAATATACTACAGATACTCGATGGTGCTACTCCCGTATAAACCTTGTGCATCAAAGTTAGACAGCTTTTAGCAATGAGATTAGGAAGAGCCAAAATTCCTATTTTGTTGAAGATGGATTGTGTGAGATGGTAGTTCACGTTTTTCTTTGTCGTAAAAATAGTTATGATATTCTGAATCAGTGGTTACATATTGCTAGTAACCAACATTTTATTTGTAGGTTTATAACCAACCAGGACGCGCGCCGAGTTGGACTCGTCGACGGTCCATGGAACAGATATTTTACGAGTATCACCCGTTAAACATTTTATTAGCTCCAGTATTTGATATTGCTAAGTAACCAACATTTTATTAGCTCCAGTATTTGATATGCGATGTATGATGCCGGACGAGGACCAGCTTTATGATGATAACAACTTTACTCTCTCTCTTGACTTTACTACACTGGTACAGTAGTTCTGTTAACCTGTCTCTCACCATCAAGCCTAGAAACAGTGTAACTACTCAGGGTGTTACATATAAACCTGAGTCCAATAAAGGTGTTACTCAGAGTTTCGTTAAACCTGAGACAATAAAACAGGATTCTGTGAGTTGGCTTTATGATGCTCCTAATATTAAAATACATCTGTCACAGAGGACATATTACCGGATTATTTTGACCCCGATATTGATCAGGTATCTCAGTTTGAGCGTTATCACAACAGAACGCAAGCTATTTTTGATAAGAGACTTGAAACTCTCGAAAAGAGTTGTGCAGGGATCAGAAGATACGAGCAAGATTTTATCTTTTACTTCCCAGAACTGAGGATGGGTTGGTGCCCGGTGTTCAAAGCGGCGAGTACTAACTGGAAACAGTTCTTTTGTAAAATATACCTTCCACATGTGTACGATGAATGGCGGATTAAGACTGATCAGGACCCTTACTGTCCGTTGGGTAAACTAATGACGGATCACTTAGTTAGAAACCTAGAAATTAAATTGAAGCAGCAGAGTAAAGTTCAACCAGAGTTTGATGGGTTGGGAGCACTGAGTGATCTGAGGAGTGGGTTAGCAGATTCAGTAAAGTTCCTAACAGTACGCCACCCTTACGAGAGGTTAGTCAGCTTGTACACTAACAAATTTAAGGATTGTGTCAGTCGTATGTACTCAAATCCAGACGGGGCCATGGTCAAAATATTCCAGCTGTACAGAAAAACTGAACAGAAGTTTTCTCCCGAGGAGAAAGCAAGACTGATAGAAGAGGCGAGGAGTGAGTGTTTGAAACCTCTAGATGAGAGACAGATAGATAAAGATAACCCTTATATGAACCCTATGGGAGCTACCTTTAAAGAGGTTATGCAGTTGATCATATCAAACTTTATGAATAGGGTGGGGCCAGACTTTCACTGGATTCAAGTAACCAAGTCATGTGATGTCTGCTCTAAGAAGTATCAAGTTATAGAAAAGTTCGAAACGTTGGAGCGGGATCATTATTTCCTGCTGAAGATTCTAGGAGAGGAAGCGCGGTATCCAGACATAGCAGGTTCCCATGATAACCCTAGTGTCAAGGGACGCAACCCTCACGAACTCGTTTTTCACTACTTCTCACAGTTAGATGAGAATATGTTGTGGGACCTACAAGCTGTGTATAAGGACGACTTTAATGCTTTTGGTTACAATCCACATTTTAGAGTGAGGAAGAATCCCTACAATATCCAGAAAAGTCAATGCGGCACTCGGGTCCTTGGTATTGTCGTCGGTATATTTTCCATTATCTACGTTCTGCTTTTATAGTTCAAACAATAGTGAGTTCTAAATATACAGCTTTATAAACCGACTAAGTATGAATGAATGAAATACCTGACAATCCGCACTCCTATAATTCAAAAGCATGAGTAACTCGTAGTGATACGTATGATTTCTAGAAACTTTAAATTACATTTTATTTTTTATTATTTATGATATGATATGTTTTGATTGTTATTAATAAATACCAAAATTTAAATTTGTTTTCCTAAAAAATGTGTTTTCCTAATAAAGTGTAATTTATAAAGAAAATGCGTCCGCTTTTCTTTTGTGGAAACTGGAAATACCTGGAAGATGGAGAAGTTGTCCGCCAGAACCATCTTGCCGTGGGTTGGGTTTGAGGAATTACCTGTGGAAATAATATAATCACGAAAAATAGAAACAGATTAAGTCAAATAAAGTCAATGTGGTGTCTCATGAGTCATGATCTGGGTGATTTCAATGATTATCAAGGTACAGTTACAGTATTGGATTTGATGACACAGCAAAAAATACCTTCGTATCGGAAGCCAACTTGTCTCTCCTTATTTAACCTAAGATCTAAGTTAAACCCTACTCGGTCTGAGTTATAATAATTATACATGATACCCACAAATACTACTTCTAGTGGACAACACCAGATACCAGTCGCTAAGAGAGAGGAAGAAACAAATACTCAACCTGGAACATTGATACTCAATTCTTTTGTAATTATAAAGTAAATTGATCTTGTTCGTTGAATGCAATGTGACTAAGATTTAATTAATGGTGGTACAAATGTGTCAATCAGTATGGTCCCATGTGGTACCATGTTAGTAAAGTAGCCGCCCATTTACCAAACTTAGTTGCGTGGGTGCATCTTTATTGGATCAAACTATTCCTTCCTTAACAATAAAGGAAAAATAAAGAAAATTCTTAATCAGCTGCCTATTTAAAAAGATCAAAAACATGTTGTACGTGAAATAAATATTCAGTCCTTCCAAAATATTCGCCTGCACGTGTCTTTTCTCAAAGAGGTGCTCATATTGTTATTAGAAGTACGGATACAAAGCAGATCAGTCAAGATCCGATCATTCGACAGACTCGTTCGAAATAAACCTCAGTAAAAGCAATTCCTCTTTGAAGTATAACGACTGCACTAGTACATAATCACTAATACAATAGCAGTACGTGTCACGTTCTCCGTATAAACGTCAATGGTCAATGATAAATATAGTTCAGACGTTTTAAATTTTGAGGTAAGGAACGGTCAAACAAAACGAATTACTGGCATATAGTGCGATGATTTATTTTAAACATTACAATTCAATGGGAAATCGTTGGTGTCATCGTTATTTCCAACTTTTAATTCTAGATTATAAATAACCAAAAATTTGCTCGCAATTTCCACCATAACGAAAATTACGAATAGCAAAAGTAGAGAAAAAAAAAACCACCAAATTCACAATTTTTGAAAGGCCAAAAAACTTACCCCGAATGAATTTCAAATGTCGATAAACGAAAAGTAACAAAAAACAGTTTCACATATTGAATGAGATATAAATCAAAATTTGAGTAATTATTAAAAATAAAGCTTCCTTTGATGATAAATCATCTCCTACAGTGCATGGAGCAATGAAGCCTGGTCAGCACGATTAAATTCCTGTACAACTAAAAATGTAACAAAACAAACAATGAAGATTTAAGATTGAGTCACTTTCAATGTATGAGCATTAAGAACCTACCATGAAGATCAGTACCGTAACAAAGGATTCGGTCCATACCGAAAAGTTGGAACTCAAGACGTCAGTCAGACAAGTCAAAGTATAAACAACAAACCAAACATTGTAGTCTAAAATAAAAGTAATGCTTACACAGCTACACTGGAGCTGTAACAAAGAGATTGTTGATATGCTGCTCCAGCGACGAGTCGGGCTACTTTATCGTTTGTATCGCTATTGCACTATTTAGCAGCACGTTTCACTCTTCGGCATCCATTGCCATCTTTTAACTGTTAAAAACGTTATCAGCTTTTAGGTGTGCAAGTTTGGGGCGACAATTAAGTTTTCGGTCGCTCACCTAAAAATAAATTTCATCAGAAACATGAACAATAGATCTTGGTGATCGATAAGGAGTAAATGTGGTCTAACTGTTTACAATTGTTCGTTTAAATGCGATTTACAAACACGATCATATCAAGCAGAATTTTACAAACATATTGAATTGCATTTAATTAAACAACTTTGATACAATCAAATCGCCGGTTGAGGTAATGCATAGTATACGAGATAAACTTTGTTCAAACTAGATCACACTATGCATTATTATCGACTTCGTAAACCGCGGCCTGAAAAACGTAATATTGCCTCTGTGGTTTACAGATTTACTTTTTATATACCGTCTCAATAACATGCAAACTTTTTTAACTGTTTTATAATCGTCTTCAAATATATCCATTGATAAATTCTTTACCTTCAGAAATTCGGAGAGCCTCACCTTAGGAAGTATGTTGCAAGACTTACGAGCATGTTTTTACAATCTGTAATACTTTTCAGCATTGTCTGAACATCTCGTGAGTTGTTTAAATTCAGTCAAAGTAAAAACTATTTAAAATTAAATCCAGGCATCAGATCTAGAAGATACTGATTATTATTAGGGCACGTGATGAACAATAAACCAGATATAAAGTTAAATTTAATGAGTCAGTAGAGGACAAAGCATACTTTTCAAAGCAGGAAACACACCGAGACTCCGCATACAAAGCTTATCTAATACAAGGCGGAAACACGCGTGAAAGGAGATGTGGAGAGATGAGACTGTCTGAGACTGTCTGGCTGAGGTGACATGGAGACCTGTCTCAGTTCTTGGTGACATCATTCGAACCGGAACAGTCAAAAGGACTACATCTTTTAATCTAAAAACCGACAACAGACAATCGGTGCAAAAGTGGAATTGTTAAATAGTTAGTATCTTGTGAGAATGGTTGAATAGAGCGGGTCATAGCATGTGATCTTTACACCGTTAATTCTGTCTGCAATTATAAAAACCATTTTCTTTGGTACATATCGAGTGCTCCGGACATAGATAATCAATAAATCGGTCGGACCGGATATCGAATGCAGATTTGTCGATTTAACAAAATATAATAAAATATCAGTTTCCTGAATATCCGTAAAATGTAAAGTGTACAGCTGATATCTAATAATCAGAATCTTGATCTATTTAATTCAATAAACTGGACAGTGAAGTTGGACTTATCCAAGGATCCGACTAACAAGAATCTAAACGTTTATGGTGACATCTATGTTTGAGCATCCACTATTTAAGCTGTTCACCAATGTTACTCATGTTAAGTGCAGAATCTTCTAAAACCATTCACCAGACTGGTTTCGTTACCAGAGGTAACATGTAGCTAAGTGCGGTAATACTTTGTAAATAGTGCGATACTGCACGATTCCGCACGTACCTGCTCAAATCTTGTTTATGCGCGACAAATTTAGGGACAAAAACACCACAAGCTGAACAATTTGCCAAATTTTCAGTCTTTAAGTACTCTCAGGTTGGATTATACAACTTTGCCTTACACTATTGTTGTGTTTAACACGACAGTTAAATTACAAAATACAAGGTGTCTTAATGTAATATCTAAAATGAGTTTCCTGACCATTCAAGATGTATAAACCTAGAACTATCCCCATAGAAGGTTTTAAAATTATTATTATTTTTAAGTATTATTTTACAATTATGTTAATACATAACGTTATTGATGGGCACGATGGCTGGGGCTATTTAAGGTTATTATAATTAGTACTATGTATACTACTTTACAACAATAAATTCCAACACATTGTGTATAAACGACTAACATGACTAAAATGGCTGAATTTCAATCTGTTGAGAAATTGCGAATTGTAATCCAGGTTGACAAGTTATCAATATGCCAAGATTCACCCTCTTTCGCTATTTTATCAAAATATATCGATAGTATTAAAAGTCAATGCATTATCAACTTGCCATCTGATAATAACAATTAAAAACTTACTGGAAATATTTTAAGGAAGAAAATTTGTTCCGCATGTGTTTTTCTTGATGTTTGATCAAAGTAATTAGGCTTTCCGATCTTTTTAATGTTACGTCAGTAAAAACGTTTGACCCTACCCATAGTTATGGAGATCACGATCTAACGTATTTGTACACAGCGATACCAAGTTGAAGTACACAAATCTGATAGAACAACAGCCGATGGTGCAAAAGAGTATTAGGTCAAAAGTGCGATTCCGCACCCATTATCCCGTGTGTTATTTAAAAGATCCAACGTTATCCGAACTCATGAAGGTTAACACGTGCACACCGGTAATATTTGTAAACTTCACACAGTTAAACTACAGTGGTGACTAAAACTCACAAACCTTACAGTTTAGCAGATTTAAATTCATAACAAACAAATACCAGACGAAGAAACTGAACAACTAGAGTACGTGTACTGCAATTTAACTGTAAGAACTATGCCTGCAGACTAACAAAAATTCGTCAGTAAAACCGCAAAACTTCACTGCTTGTTACCAGATGGTGCGATGGATTATGATAGTAGTAGCTGATAGCTGATAACTATCGCTATTAACGTGATAACTTTCGGTATTTTAACGTGTAATTGATGATCAATATTAACTTGATACACTGTTGAGTGTTGCCCATGAGTTTATAATAATTAAGTTGTAACAGACGAGCGAGTGGTAATGAGGCCCACTGAGAATACAAGATAACTAATACGTGACCACGTGACCACGTGACAACCTCAGTCAGACACATCACGACTACGAATATTGAGATGAAAAACCTCCTCCTCGCTGTCCACGTGTTCTAGGTCAATTTGCTGCCACTTTTAACAATTTGTTAACGGCACGTGATCCATGAGAGTTGAGCCATTACAAAAGAAATGGAAATTACTTTAAATCGATTATTATAACTTCACAACAAAGATTATTTCTATCATGATCATTGCATGCAGGGCAGACCACACTTTTTATTAGTAATATTCTGCAGTATTCGGCAATCAACACGAGCGTGGTGAACTTGCAACCTCAATTACAACAGACTATATCAATCATAAAACTGATCTTTCAATTATATCACATCCGCGTCTCCCGGCAGCAAGATTAACAGGTTATTATTTTGGATAGCCTGTCTGCCTGTATATAGTGAGTATACCATCAGTTTCAAAGTGTCTGCCTGTATATAGTGAGTATACCATCAGTTTCAAAGTGTTTGCCTATATAGTGAGTATACCATCAGTTTCAAAGTGTCTGCCTGTATAGTGAGTATACCATCAGTTTCAAAGTGTCTGCCTGTATATAGTGAGTATACCATCAGTTTCAAAGTGTCTGCCTGTATAGTGAGTATACCATCAGTTTCAAAGTGTCTGCCTGTATAGTGAGTATACCATCAGTTTCAAAGTGTCTGCCTGTATATAGTGAGTATACCATCAGTTTCAAAGTGTCTGCCTGTATATAGTGAGTATACCATCAGTTTCAAAGTGTCTGCCTGTATAGTGAGTATAGTTTCCAGCTTCTCTTCTTTCGTCTCCTCCTCCACAATATAAAACTGTGCGTGTTGTATGTCACACCATTACATTGTGTGTCACACCATGTCCTCTTGGAGGCACGACCTAAAGAGGGCTCGCAGCTTCTTTCAGGAGATTCTAACTGACCTGGGGTTCCAGTTCCAGGTGAGACTTCACAAATATACTACTGATAAAATGTTTTTAGACTGAACTTTGGAACAAAGTACTTAAGTGTGTACCATACAATTGCACGTGTATTAGATAATACTTACTTATCCTACACAAAATGATTAATTCGATTAAATAATAATATTCGTGGATATTATTATTAACCTCGTACTAAGCGCATACTCAATAATTTAGCTATTTGATAATCGCAAGGATCTACCTTAACTAACTAAGTGTTTGCCGACTTATAAAGTTATAGAAATACAGTGCACCCAGGGTCCATATGATTACTATAAATTCCTCACCAAAGAATTTATTTGCCAGGATTTAACAACGACCCCAAAGCTACAAATAAGATATGATGGCCGAGATGAGGTTATCAGATCAACAAGAATTGTAGACAACAATACGGACAGTGAATACTATAACACTAACAGTACGAGAGGAGGAACTAGTAGTGAATACTATAACACTAACAGTACGAGAGGATTCTCTGTAAAGATGGAAAGTAATGAAATTCTCCAAATTCCACAGGTTACCGAGATAATTAAGGAATCTCTAACTGGTGACCAGGTAGAGACATCTCTGGCTGCTTGATGTCCAGGCAGTAGAACTTGTTGTCCAGGCAGTAGAACTTGTTGTCCAGGCAGTAGAACTTGTTGTCCAGGCAGTAGAACTTGTTGTCCAGGCAGTGAACTTGTTGTCCAGGCAGTAGAACTTGTTGTCCAGGCAGTAGAACTTATTGTCCAGGCAGTAGAACTTGTTGTCCAGGCAGTAGAACTTGTTGTCCAGGCAGTAGAACTTGTTGTCCAGGCAGTAGAACTTGTTGTCCAGGCAGTGAACTTGTTGTCCAGGCAGTAGAACTTGTTGTCCAGGCAGTAGAACTTGTTGTCCAGGCAGTAGAACTTGTTGTCCAGGCAGTAGAACTTGTTGTCCAGGCAGTAGAACTTGTTGTCCAGGCAGTAGAACTTGTTGTCCAGGCAGTAGAACTTGTTGTCCAGGTAGTAGAACTTGTTGTCCAGGCAGTAGAACTTGTTGTCCAGGCAGTAAAACTTGTTGGACATCTTTGAGTTCATCAGCTGTTATCATAGGGAAGCTATCAAAAATGCAGTCTTTGTCAATTGAATAAGGTATTTGTCTTTGTCTTCATCTTAATACAACTGTCCCTCCCGGTTAGTTGAAAGCTCTTTTGTTTACCGGTATAAATCCATTACCTAAGTCAAATGAAGATCACAAATTATAAAATTTTGCAGAAGTTCTTAATTATCTTTAGTCCTCCTCCTGA